CATCATCATCATCATCATCATCATCATCATCATCATCATCATCATCACCATAGTTACAGAGCATTAAAAAGAAAACATAGGGCAGGATCTAAGGGTCCTGTGGAAGTGTTGGGAGAAAGATGGAAGGACCTGGAGGGGACAAGAACCTCAGAACAACAGAGATAACTAACCCAGTTCCATGGGGGCTCTCAGGAACTGAGACATCAACTAAGGAGCATTCTTGGTCTGGACCTAGGTCTTCTGCAGACATGTTGCCAAAGGGCAACTTGGTTTTCCTGTTGGGCTCCTGGTGCGTGGAGGAACGGGGCACTGTTTCTAAAATAGACTCTATTCTTTTGGATCACTTGCAGCTGGCAGGGCTGCCTTGTCTGGCTTCAGGGGATGAGGATATGCTCAGTCCTTATGTGACTTGATGTGCTGCGGGAGGCTGACAAGGGGAAGTAGGAGTCTCCCCTTTTCTGTGAGGAAAGGGAGAGGGGAAGAGGAAGGAGGGAAATGGGGGTGATGGGGGGGGAAAAAGGAGGGGCACCCTTAGGATGTAAGGTAAATAAATGAAATTTTAAAATATTTAAATGTTTACATTGAACCATATGCAAGTGAATATAATCATGGTCATGTTTTGATACCAGTAAATCCATTCTGGTTGTGAAAAAAAAATATTACTGAATACATTCATCAGCTGGGAATCAGTCTCTACGTAAAATTTCCTTGAGTCTTACTGACATTGATCCAATTTCAATGCAGAGCTTTGCTAATTACTTTGCATTCCCCAAGCTAGTAAACCACAAGGAATTTCATATTAGAGTCTCTTGGGATAAAATATCTGATATAAATGATCCTAGAGCTAGGTGGTTGAATCTTGGGGTATTAGAAGGAGCTTTCCCTTCAAATTTGGTAAGTAGCATAGTGTGTATAATTAGTCTTGTAAATTTTATCCTGCTTTCACAATGACTCAACAATTATTTGCTTTCTGTTGTAAGAGGAACTGCCAAGACTTTTCATATTCCTCCATCATTCTGCAGCAGTTTGTAAACTTCCTGAGGTGGGAAAAACTCTTAACTTTTTCTACATGTGGAGCTCTGGAATAATTTATATGAAAGGAATAGATAGAACATATAGTTGACTCTAAAATGATAGGATTGTTAAGAATCACTTAGCATGGAACTTATCATGAAACAGCTGCAAAGGCTGTCTCAAATGCTTCTCTAAGCAATACACTAGTGCTTCTAAACTCAGGTTCAGAGGGAATTATAAAATATTTAAATTTCTTTTAGTTTATTTTTCTTCCTCAGAAAAAGAAGACATGAATGATTTTAAAGAAGGGTAGAGAACAGTTAACTCTGACTTTTAAGCTTGTTACAGCCTTTCAATAAGGTTGGCCAGAAAAGATTTTCCTCCCTTCCTCCCTCCCTCTTTTTCTCCCTCCCTTTCTCACCTTCCATTTCTCCCTCCCTTCCTTTCTTCCTTATCTCCCCACTCCAGGTGCCAGGGTTATAGGCATGTGCCACCCCCAGCTCTCAATGTCTCTTTACATAGGGGAAAATTTCAGCATATGACCTGATGTCATTAATGAACACTTAAGAAAAACACAATTAAATACTTGGGGTGTTTTATTCCCTATGTTTGTGTTGGGTTTTGAACTTTTTTGATCTAGACTGTTGAGATTCCCAAAGTCACTCCTATCTACCACAGTTCACAATTTTATCTATAAACCAATCAAATATATGGCCAAAATATTCTATAAAAGATGGTGGTAGTTCGTAAGCATAAGCAACTGAGGTAATAAATAAAATGTGGGAATGCCATAAAAGCATAGGATTGAATAGAGAAAATAATAATAAAGTAAAAAAAAATCAACATTGACTCTTGAATACTTATCACAATATTAGTTTTATATTAAATTATATAACATGAACTAACACATTATCTTTTTTTAAACTTTAAAGAGAATTTTTTTAAATTTTTTATTTAACTTTTATTAATTACACTTTATTCATTTTGTATCCCCCATAAGCCCCTCCCTCCTCCCCTCCCTGTCCCACCCTCTCCCCCTTTCTGCATGCATGCCACTCCCCAAGTCCACTGATAGGGGAGGTTCTCCTCTCCTTCTTTCTGATCTTAGTCTATCAGTTCTCATCAGAAGTGGCTTTTCAACATATAATATCTATGCATTTCTCCTATTTTAAAATACAACGCATTTAAAAAATATTTATTTATGTAAACGAGAGCTTTATCTGCATGTACTCATTCATGACAGAACAGAGCATCATATCCCATTAAAAAATGATTGTGAGCCACCATGTGGTTGCTGGGAATCAAACTCAGGATTCTGGAAGAGCAGCCAGTGCTCTTAACCGCTAAGCCATCTCTCCAGCCCCAAATACAATGTATTTATTGAAAATAACCATAACTTTACAGAAAGTAGATTGAGATAGAGAAGTGTTTTATATTACAGAGAAAGGAATGCTTCTTATGAGGATTGGTCAGGTTTCCAATGGTAAATAAGCTGTATAGAGTTAAGAACAGAATTCTGCCTAGGTCTGTTTGACCACACATGCCCGGGTGAGGAGAATGTGCTGCTTACAAACATTCTATAACAACTAGTAACAGGATTTGGGAGGACATATATCAGTTTATTAAATATTAATAAGCCTACCAAATAAGACTACATCCATCCCTATAATAATGTGCAGCTCCACCATGCACCTCTCAGTCCTGTGTGGAGTCAGTTGTCATCAGTCTTCTACAGTGAAAGGACAGTGGTCTATTTGTTCCACAAGTTCAGGTTTTTGTTCTTCTTCTAGGTCCTTTTTAAATCTACTAACTGCTCTTGATTATCTCTTTATATATATAATTTTAATTTTAAAAGTAGGTGGCAAAATGTGTTTGATATATTCACTAAGGTAAGCAGGGAAAACTACAGACAGGTCCTAAAAATACAGAAAAACTCTGCAGGAAAGGACTCCAATTCTCATGCACTTAAACAGTTTTTGATAATAATAGTAATAATGATAATAATAATTCATCAGCCCTAGTCTAGTGGCAGCAATGGACCCATGTTAGCCATCTTCCAAAAACCTTTGAATTCTGTTGCCAAGGGCTATGCTTTGTGCTTAAAAGTGAATATAAGCATTATATTTCTAGACTAGAGCTGATGAACAGTTGAGCCTTTAAGGACATACCTGGGATAATGAATCCTATAGATCAAAGAAGGTACTTTAATTCATTTTTTTTCCTTCTCTAAATTCTATAGTGGAAGCATAGGGATATGTATTCAAACGAGACCTTAATATTCCATATCTACACGATATAATGTAGAGATTAGGTTCTCTGTTTGAATAATATTAAATATAAATTCTGTTTATCCTATCGTCAATATTGGCTTAATGTGTTTGGCATCTGTCCCTATACTTGCAAAATGAAGATGATATTTCCTTAATGAGCCTGGGTGTCATAACACAATGCCATGTAGTGCTGTTTCAGCATTGCAAAATAATATTTTCAGAGATTTATAGGTTGAATGAAGTCAAAGATCAAGATGAGTACATAGCTTTCTTCCAATGAGGTCCATTTCATAAGTTAGAAATGTCCATCTGAGAGAAAGAGAGATGGAGGAAAGAAAAGAAGGAAAGAGGAAGATGGATAGAGAGGGGCAAGATTTTCCCCTCATCAAGCCACTTATTTATGCAGATTAGAGCATCAACTTTCTCTTCTGGAATTCCATCCTTTTTTCAAATGAACTCACACTGGGTTCATCAAATAAAGTGCAGGGCACAAGTGTACATTAACTATCAACACAATAATGTTAATGTGTAGAAATAAGACAGCTCTCAAATATCAAGACTGATTGGGCTACATGTTTCTCCTGATGCTTTTCAAACTCCAATCACTTATTTATAATTTATTTTATGTTTGGTATGTATTTGAAAATGCTCATGTGGGTGAGAGTTTGTTGTGGAAAGAGGTGCATATGCACTTGTGTTGCATGTGTGGAGGTCAGAGGGCAACTTTTGCTGTTGTTTCTCAGGAGCCATTTATCCTGCACTTTTCTTTTAGACTGTGTCTAGCTCTGGCCTAGAATCTGTCACGCAAGGCTATGTGGGAGCCACTGAACCACAGGGTTCCTGTCACCTTGGCCTGGGATCAAAATGTGTACCACAGTGTCGGGTTTACATTTTAAAATGATTTCTTGGTATCATCCTAAGTTTTTCATGCTTACAAGGAAAGAATTTTAGCAAATGAGCTACCCCCAATATTTTGATAGTAATTTTATAATTAGTATATAACCCCAGTCTATACAATCAAAATCTTTGTCATTTAATTGTCTCAGATATGAGTGAATCCATGAAGCTTTCTCTAATTTTCATTTGTTGAAAATATATTTTGATTACTGTTTCCCTCCCTCAACTCTTCTGAGATCTTCTCACCTCCTCTTCCACTTGAATAATACCCTTTTTTGATTACTTACTATTTTTGAAATTTCATTTATTCAATATAATTTTCATTTATTTAACATATTGGATTCAGCTGAACTCTAATTTTATCTACTCTTAGGTGAGATTTCCTAATGCCATGGAACAATATAATAACACAGTGATTGAGTTTATTCTGGTGGGATTCACAACAGACCCTGTTATGCAACTGGTCCTATTTGCCATCTTCCTTGCTGTGTACACATTAACTGTGGCAGGAAACAGCTCCCTCATCATGTTGATCTGCAATGACTCCCGGCTCCACACACCCATGTATTTCTTCATTGGAAACCTATCATTCCTGGATCTTGGGTTGACTTCTGTCTACACTCCAAAGATCTTAGCAATCTGCATCTCCGAAGACAAGAGCATCTCCTTTGCTGGCTGTGTGGCTCAGTTCTTCTTCTCTGCTGGACTTGGGTATACTGAGTGTTACCTTTTGGCTGCCATGGCTTATGACCGCTATATAGCTATTTCAAAGCCACTGCTTTATTCACAAGCCATGTCCTTAAAACTGTGTGTATTTTTCGTGGGAGCCTGCTATCTCGGTGGTTTAATTAACTCTTTCATCATCACCAAAGACACTTTTGCCTTGACTTTCTGCAGTGACAACATAATTGATGACTTCTTCTGTGATATCCCACCCCTGGTGAAACTGGCCTGTGGCAAGAAGGACAGCTTTCAGTCTGTGTTGTTCTTCCTCTTGGCTTCCAATGTCATCCTCCCCATTGTGTTCATTCTGGCCTCCTATCTCTTCATCATTGCCACTATCTTGAGGATCCGCTCCACCCAGGGCCGCCTCAAGGCCTTCTCCACCTGCTCTTCCCACCTCATGTCTGTGACCTTGTACTATGGCTCCATCCTCTACATCTATGCTCGTCCCCGGTCCAGCTACTCCCTGGAGAGGGACAAAATTGTTTCAACCTTTTACACAGTGGTTTTCCCCATGTTGAATCCCTTGATCTACAGCCTGAGGAATAAGGATGTGAAAGAGGCTGTGAATAAATTGTTGAAATAATCATAATCATGTCCTATAGAGAAGCAAAGATGAGTTTGATCTGGAGACTGTATGTGTAGCTGTGCTTCAGCCATTGTCCATCATGCTCCTGAATTCTTATGATATTAGCTATCCTAAATACACATTTGAAGATGACAGGTCCAATAATCCAATTTTTAAAATGAGAATAATTCAAGAGATTGTATTTGAAAACAAAGTGTATATATTTGAAAATTCATTTCTATGTTATTTTGGCTGAAACCAAATAAATAAGATTTATTCTCCCAGAGGCTTTTCTACCATCATAAAAGTACAGATTCTGTTTTTCTTGAAGCAAAGTTAGGCTGACTCATTCCTGTAGAATAGAATCATTAAACTTCTAGTCTAATCCACAGTAGGTGGAGTTAATGCTTTCTTGTATGTAGATCTTCCCTGTTTGCTGGCATATTGTGTTGTGTTTCAGTTCTCTACCATTCATGGTATTGCAAGAGAATGGAGGTTAAGTGGTGCCTACATCCCATACTGTGCTGGTTCTAATGTGGAATAAACTAATCAAGCATGTTGAAGATGCACCAATGACAATCTTAGATAGTAAAAATGTTTTGTAAAATAAAAATATGGGTAAAATATTTTCTTTTCAAACCTGTTTATTGCTGTGTACCTGTTTTTGCCTTGTACTTCCAGCTAAGGATAAAAATATAAGCAAAAAATACTCATTACAGCATGTGATATTGTTTTAGTTTTTTTGTATGGCTTTATTATATTTTAATATGTTGTTAAATAAATTATTCATGGAAATTTGAAAAGCCTGTGCATTCTTACTGAAATTTATTGAAATATATGTCTACAGTTGTATATGCTTAAAGTAAGCAGCATAATATTTTGATATATATTGTGAATGTATTAACATAAAATTTATTAGCATAACCATTACTGTAGAAAGTAGCTATGTTTCTTTTGTGAGAGAACTTATAATCCACCTTGACCATTTCAGTAATGTAACTGGTATTTATTTAGTCTGCTTTATGCTAAATATATTTCAAAATTTTTATTTCGTAAAACTTATTATTCTATTTTCTAGCAATGTCAAGTTCCAGAAACTACCAATATAATCTAGTATTTGTTTTATGAAGTTGATCCTGTATGTAGCTGAATTCATGCAGGATGTGCCTTTTTGCAACCAGACAAACACATATGGCACATAACACCAGTACCATTTATATTATTGAAAATGGCAAGATTTTTTGCTTTTTCAAAGTTGAATGTATGTGTGGTCCCTTAAATAAAATGCTCAGTAGACACAAGGTGTTTTTTTTTTTTTCATACCTGGGCTGTTCTGATGATTGTGCAATAAATACAAAAGTCCAGGTATCTTTTGTGATATGGATATTATTTACACTGAACATATAGACAAAAGTAAGATTGATGAACCATATAAGAGTTTTATTTTAATGTTTTGAGAAATCTTCACACTGTTTGTCATGATTATATTTGTATTCCCATCACTAGTTTACAGAGCTTGCCTTCACTTCTAACCCCAATCAACACTTTTCTTTGTCTTTTAAATTTTAGTTATTTTAACATATATGAGAGATACCTCATCAAAGTCTTTGAATTTGTATTACTTACTATTTTTCTATTCTTCACTATGCATCATTATTTGGGCAGTAACTGCCGGGAGCCAAAGCTATCTACAGAAGCCAAAGTCAAATCTATCTAGTGGAGACAAAGGTATCTATGGAAGCCAAAGTCAATTAGTGAGCCAAAGCTATCTAGTGGAGACAAAGGTAGTTACTGAAGCCAAAGCCAAGGAGAGAGCAAAGGTCATTTAGTGGAGACCTAAAGCTATGTAGTGAAAGAGTTATCTAGACCCTAAATCATGGGTGGTAGATTGTGAGGACACCCTTTGTTAGAGCTTCCGTAAGGTATCTTAAGAGAACATCCTTATGGTATCTTGCAGGTACAACATTTAACCCATGAAAGCACTCTTCCTATCTCCTGCAGCAGTAGATTAACCTTACCCCCTTCCTGTCTTCTCCCTATATAAGTTGGGTAAAAATTTCTAATAAACGGAAGCCTTGATCAGACGAACAGACTTGGCTTTCATTCCTGCATCTCTTGTCCCCTCCCCCCCCATTCCTTCCAATCTTTCCACCTTAGGAACCCCTTTGAAGCCCCGAGGGTCAGGACAAGTAACAACTGCTCAGACATTTTTTTTTCTCTTTGACTGCTTTCTGTTTTTATTTCTTTTGTTTGTTGGTTTTACTGAAGTTCTACTATCTTAAAACTGGACACAGAGGAAGACAATGCGGCCAGTCCTGATGAGACCTGATAAGCTAGGATCAGATGGAAGGGGAGGAGGGCTTCCCCTATCAGTGGCCTGAAGGAGGGATATGGGAGGAGATAAGGAAGGAAGGGTGGGATTGGGAGGGACTGAGGGATGGGGCTATAGCTGGAATACAAAGTGAATTAAGCTGTAATTAATATAAAAAAACTGGAAATATGAGAAAATGAAGAAGATACACATACTTTACATTTTCTCTCTAGCCTACATCTATAATATTTAAATCCATAAATGAGATTAATATACATGCTTATGGACTCACCGTTACTACTGAGGTAAATGACTCCAAATGAATGTGTAAGTAAACAGTCATCGACTTGAACCTGGGACATTTAGCTCTAACGGTTTTGGCCCACTTAATGGGCAAGGGAATACAAAAAAAAGCATATAATATGTCTTCTAGTCAGTTTTCAGGATGACCTTGCCCTGTCGCAATTAATCACTCCAACTTCCTTAACTGTAGTTCTCTAGAATAATTATAAAACATGTAGGACATGAAACACTCTGAAGAAGGAAGGGTCATCCTTTCTTTTTTTTTTGGCGGGGGGGGGAGAAAAGCATTTATTTCTTTTTTTTATTTTTTTATTATTTTTTTCTTTTTAGTTACATTTTGTTAACTCTGTGTCCCAGCTGTATCCCGCTCCCTCATTCCCTCCCTGGTCTCCTCCCTGCCCCTTTCCAAGTCCACTGATAGGGGAGGACCTCCTCCCCTTTCATCTGACCCTGTTTTATCAGGTATCTTCAGGGCTGGCTGCAAAGTCCTCCTCTGTGGCCTAACAGACTGCTCCCCCCGGGTCAAACAGCCTGCCCTTGAGATCCTGTTAGAAATAGTCCGTGTTCCCCTTACTTTGGAAAACTACTTGGTTACTGAGCTACCACGGGACACATCCGAGCAGAAGTTCTAGAGTTCTAGGTTATATCCATAGATGGTCCTTGGTTGAGTGTCAGTCTCAGAAAAGACCCTGTGCCCAGATATGTTTTGTCCTTGTAGAGCTCCTATCCTTTCCATATCATACTAACTTCCCTTCTTTCATATGATTCTCTGCACTCTGCCGAGGGTTTGGTTATGAGTCTTAGTGTCTGCTTTGAAACACTGCTAGGTAGAGTCTTTCAGATGCCTTTTGTGGTAGACTCCTGTCATAAGTTCAATGCACATCCCATTTGTCTTTCTAAATGAGGATTAATCACCTTCGCCTGTGTCCACTTTCTTGATTATCTTCTTTAGGTGTGTAGATTTCATTATGTTTATCATATCTTGTAGGTCTATATAAGTGAGTATATACCAAGTTTGTCTTTCTCCTTCTGGGATACTTCACTCAGAATGATCTTTTCTAGATCCCACCACTTGCCTGCAAATTTCATGATTTCCTCCTTTTTGATTGCTGAGTAGTATTCCATTGTGTAAAAATACCACAATTTCTGTATCCATTCCTCCGTTGATGGACATCTGGGTTGTTTCCAAGTTCTGGCTATTACAAATAAAGCTGCTACGAACATGGTTGAACAAATGTCCTTGTTGTGTACTTGAGCAAATTTTGGGTATATACCTAGGAGTGGTATAGCTGGGTCTTGAGGTAGCACTACTCCTAGTTGTCTGAGAAAGCGCCAGATTGACTTCCAAAGTGGTTGAACCAGTTTACATTCCCACCAGCAATGGAGGAGGGTTCCCTTTTCTCCACAACCTCTCCAGCATGTGCTATCACTTGAGTTTTTCATCTTGGCCATTCTGATGGGTGTAAGGTGAAATCTCAGGGTCGTTTTGATTTGCATTTCCCTAATGGCTAATGAGGTTGAGCATTTCTTTAAGTGTTTCTCTGCCATTCGATGTTCCTCTTTCGAGAATTCTCTGTTTAGCTCTGTTCCCCATTTTTTAAGTGGATTACTTGGTTTGTTGCTTTTCTGCTTCTTTAGTTCTTTATATATACTGGATATTAGCCCTCTGTCAGATAAAGGGTTGGTGAAGATTCTTTCCCAATCTGTAGGCTGTCTATTTGTTTTGATGACAGTGTCTTTTGCTTTACAGAAGCTTTTCAGTTTCATGAGGTCCCATTTATTGATTGTTGCTCTTAGAGCCTGTGCTGTTGATGTTCTGTTCAGAAAGTTGTCTACTGTGCCAATGAGTTCTAGGGTATTCCCTAGACCTCACAAAAGTGCCATGGAAGCCAGTGCATTTTGCATTTCTGGTTTTTGTTTCTTTACTGGATGTAGAGGAAACAATACCAGATTTTGTTGACAATAGATATATCTTAATAAACATTTTTATTCAGAGTTTCTGTATAGAGTCATGTAAAGAATCAAGGGTAGGTCTGAATCTAGTATAGTTATCTAGACTAGAGAGAAGAGGAGACATATCGATAAAAGAAATGAGTCATGTTAGAGACAGAGACATCTCTACACATGGGTATGCTGTGCCTTAATTATGTGTCGTCTCTCTAGCTCCACCCTTACTTTTCTCTCTGTCCCTGCCCTAGACCTTAACAAGATATAGTGAAAAAAAAAGGCAAAAGCCCTCATATCGGGGCTAGACAAGGCAACCTCATAAGAGGAAAAGGGTCTCAAGGTCAGACAAATGTGTCAGAGATACATCAGCTCCCACTTTTAGGAGTACCACAAAAAACCATGCTAACAGCCATAACATATATGCAGAGAACCCAGTGCAGACCCATGTGGAGCATGA